AACTTGCACATCCCAGAATTTGTATCCTCCATCCCTAACATATGCCTCCTTAACTTTCATGTCCCTTGTTTGCGCGATCTCATATATTCTTGGGAATCTGTCTTTTAATTTAAAATTTCCAGCCCATTCATATTCCCAAAAGCTTATTTTTTCACCATTCCCAACACCATTTTGTGCATGCAGAAAATTCCTGGCAGTCCACTAGGATTTTCATCCACAGACTTCTGCTATGATTTCCTCCCATCAGTCTTCCCCCAATTCCCCTTCTTCAATTACCGCACCTTGACTCAAACACCTTACTCCATAATCTATCTCCTTCCCTTCCCTTTCTCCATAGCCACTTTCCTAGCAAAGCATTATTCATTTTCACCATTGATCTCAGCCCCAAGCCACCTTTATCATATGGTTTTTTTACCTCTTCCCACCTAAGTGATACTTTCTTTTGTCCACCTCATCGCCTCATAAAAATCTGCATTGAATCATTTTCAGCGTCTTTGCAATCTTGATTAGCATAGTGGAAACCGAAATGTAATAAATTGGTAGATTTGCAGCGTACATTTGATGAGTGTTAAACGAGCCCCCTTTTGAAAAGAAATTCCTCTTCAATCTTGCCAACCTCTTCTCAACCATTTCAACCACTGGATCCCAAGTTCTTGAATCTTTTACCTTTGCACCCAAAGGGAGACCAAGGTATTTTATAGATAGGTCTCCCACTCTACATCCCAAAACCTTCGCCATTTGCCTTTCATTTCTTCTATCACCATTTTTTACCAGCTCTGATTTTGACATGTTTATTTTTAGTCCGGACACCATTTGAAAATGAAGAAAACAAGGAGAGAAAGTTTGTGTGACGAGGAAAAATCCTCTGATTTTCTTCAATGTTACATGGATACAAATGTGCTAAATATATAGGTTTTTGGCCAAGACAAAAAACAGTTAAAAAATGCTAACAAAAAGGTAAAAAATTAGTTGAGAGAGCACCCATCTGTCATAACGATACCAGCTGTCCTAACCACTTGAAAAAAGATTAAGCTGTCTCTAATGTAAGTATACATGTATATATACATTCCTACATATGAACATTTTACATTCCCCCTCAATTTAGGTTACATAGATGTTAAGTAACCCTAGATTGAATATAAGATTATTGAACTCTCTTTTTGGTAGTGCCTTGGTGAGTATGTCAGCTGTTTGTTGACTAGTCGGGATGTATAGGAGTGATACATCCGAACTTTCAATTTTTTCTCTGATGAAGTGACGATCAATCTCAACATGTTTAGTTCTGTCATGGTGCACAGGGTTCTTGGCCATGTTAATAGTTGATTGATTGTCACACCAAATCCTCATTGCAATAGGAGCAGAAAATCTTAGTTCTAGTAGAATTTTTTTAAGCAATACTTCCTCACATATTCCATGTGCAAGTGATCGTAATTCAGCTTCAGCGCTGCTTCTTGATACAACAGATTGCTTTTTGCTACGCCAAGTGACTAAATTACCCCAAACATAAGAGCAGTGACCAGATGTGGATATTCTATCTGTCACAGATACAGCCCAATCAGCATCAGTATAGATTTCAATATTTCTAACCATGTTCTTCTGAAAGAATAATCCATGTTCAGGTGTCATTTTTAGATACCTCATAATACGATAAACAATACACATGTGTTTTTCAGTAGGTTGAGACATGAACTGACTCATAATACTAACAGCGAAGCAGATGTCAGGTTTTGTATGAGCCAAGTAGATCAGGTCTTGTATGAGCCAAATAGATAAGTTTGCCTACAAGTCTTTGATACCTTTCCTTATCAATCGGTTTACTGTCACTTTTGATCCAAGTTTAGTGTTTGTTTCCATAGGAGTCTTAGCAGATTTACAACCAAGCATACCTATTTCATTCAGGAGATATAAGATGTATTTTCATTGAGATATAGAAATTCATTTATTGGTTCTGGCAATTTCCATTCCGAGAAAATATTTAAGCAATTTAAGGTTTTTGATTTCAAATTCTCTAACTAGAAAATCTTTCAGTTTCTGAATTTCTTCACTGTGATCACCTGTAAGGAAAATATCATCCACATAAACAATTAGTATAGCTCTTCTCCCTTTGATACAATGCTTGACAAATAAGATATGATCGGATTGACATTGTTGATATTCTATATGTTTTACTACTCTGGTGAATCTGTCAAACCAAGCTCTTGAACTGACTCATAATACTAACAGCGAAGCAGATGTCAGGTTTTGTATGAGCCAAGTAGATCAGGTCTTGTATGAGCCAAATAGATAAGTTTGCCTACAAGTCTTTGATACCTTTCCTTATCAATCGGTTTACTGTCACTTTTGATCCAAGTTTAGTGTTTGTTTCCATAGGAGTCTTAGCAGATTTACAACCAAGCATACCTATTTCATTCAGGAGATATAAGATGTATTTTCATTGAGATATAGAAATTCATTTATTGGTTCTGGCAATTTCCATTCCGAGAAAATATTTGAGCAATTTAAGGTTTTTGATTTCAAATTCTCTAACTAGAAAATCTTTCAGTTTCTGAATTTCTTCACTGTGATCACCTGTAAGGAAAATATCATCCACATAAACAATTAGTATAGCTCTTCTCCCTTTGATACAATGCTTGACAAATAAGATATGATCGGATTGACATTGTTGATATTCTATATGTTTTACTACTCTGGTGAATCTGTCAAACCAAGCTCTTGGAGACTGTTTGAGGCCATACAATGCCTTTTTTAATTTGCATACCTTTTGAGGATTCATTTTGAGTTCAGGTGGGACTTCCATGTATACTTCTTTCTCTAAGTCACCATTAAGAAAAATATTTTTTACATCAAATTGATAGAGAAGCCAATCAAGATTAGATGCTAAAGAGAATAATACGCGAATTGTGTTGTACTTGGCAACAGGAGCAAATGTCTCTTGATAGTCGATGCCATATGATTGGGTAGACCTTTTAGCAACAAGTCGAGCTTTGTAGCGGCTTACACTACCATCAGGATTGTACTTGGTGGTGAAGATCCACTTGCATCCAACAAGAGCCTTCCTTGAAGGTTGATCAGATAATTCCCATGTCTTATTTTTCTCAAGAGCTAAAATTTCTTTTTGGATAACAGCATTCCATTTAGGAATCTTGAGAGCTTCATGAACTATTCTTGGTTCAGGAGGGATGCTATCAAATTTGCTCACAAATGCATGATGCTTCGAAGACAACTTGTCATAAGAGACATAATCCCATATGGGATGCATAGTAAAAGAACGAACACTCTTTCGTAATGCAATAGGTAAACCAATATCATCACTAGAGTCAGAAATCTCATTACTTGTGTTATTCTGGGTGCTTGGTTCAGGAGTTGAGTCATGACAGAGTATAGATGGTTCAGGTACTTCATCTTTACCTTGAGTTTTGTTCCTCGTATAGATTCGTAACTCATTAACTGCAGGTAATGTGTTATCAGTCTCTATGATAGGTTCAGGTTCTTTGGTGGTTTCAGGGACATGATCTTTTTCTGAAGTTGTCAATGGAGTTTGTAGAGGAGGGATATACAAATCCCACAATTGATATTCTTGAGTTTCAGATATCTCCCCCTGAATATCAAGAGTAGAATAAAAAGGTTGGTTATCAAAAAAGGTAACATCCATAGTGTTATAGAACCGGCGGGTTACTGGACAAAAACATTTGTAACCTTTTTGAGAATTGGAATACTCGACAAAAACACATTTGATAGAATCAAGTTTTCCTTTGAAGTGATTGTGAATGTGAACATAGGCAGAACAACCAAATACTTTAAACGGAATTGTGTTAAGGATTTGCGATGTTGAGAAGACTTGAAGTAGTGAATCATAAGGTGTTTTAAACTTAAGGATATAGGAGAGCATTCTATTGATCAGGTATGTGGCTGTGAGGATAGCCTCTCCCCAAAGGTATTTAGGAACATTTGTGGTAAACATGAGTGAGTGGGATACTTCAAGGATGTTGTGCTTCTTTTTCCTTTCGGCCACACCATTTTGTTGAGGGGTGTAGGGACAAGAACTTTGATGGATAATACCTTGGCAAGAAAGGAATTTTCGTAGGTTGGATGCAAAATATTCACATGCATTATCTGTTTTTAACACTTGTATTTTTGTTTGAAATTGGATTTGGATCATAATATTGAATTTTTGAAAAATTTCACTAGCTTCAAATTTTTCTTTCATCAGATAGACCCAGGTTATTCTAGTTTGATCATCAATAAAGGAGATAAATCAGTTTGTGCCAGTAATATTTTTTACCCATGCCGGTCCCCAGACATCATTATGAATAAATGCGAAGGGTTTTGAGAGTTTGTAAGCAATACTGGAATATGAATTGCGAGTACCCTTCTGGGAAACTGAATAAGCGATTCTCTCTCTAAGCAACAGAAGCATTACCGAGAATACCCTTCTGAGAAAACATTTGCATGAGGGCCTCTAATTGGGCTGGACTGAAGGGAGAGCTCTCGGTAATACTTGCTGTAGGGGATAATTCTTCTGAAATTATCATGTTGCTCTGAGTGTCATTTTTGTAATTTTTCCTATCTGTTGGCTTGCCATGTAATTTTCAGTATTTATCCCCAATATGATCCGACTTTTTGTAATAATTATACCAGAGTCTCTCTTTCTTTCCTCCAGCTTCAGAAGTACGCCCGACGAAAGCAGAGGCGTGCTCGTGATTTAGGGCACCAGGCTGAGGTTCACTGAGCAACGGCTTCCTCTGAGTAGCAAGGGCAGAAGTTGCGTCCGTCAGGTTCGCGCCAGAGTAAAAATCACCCAGCATGATCTTCTTTCTACTCTCTTCTCGATAGATTTCAGAGAAAACTTCTTTGAGATTTGGCAGCGGCTTTGTACCCAGAACGCGACCACGAACCTCATCCAAGTTTTCGTTGAGTCCCATAAAAAATTGGAAGACTTTTTTGCGTTTAGTGTGAGTTTTGAAGAGTTTTGAGTCTTCGGGACAATTTTACGGGTGTTCCTCGAAGATGTTGAGTTGCTGCTAGTACCGAGAGAGTGCATTGTAGTACTGTGTTACAGTGAGCTCCTCTTGTCACAGGTCGTGCAACTGAGTCTCGATTTCGAAGGTGGCAGAGGTATTGTCTCGCCTGGCGTAAAACTCGCGTATGGCCACCCAGATGTCATGCACAGTTTCATAGGGCAAAAAA